ATAATTATTATTTTCCGTTTTATTATTTTCCTTATTGGAAATGGCACGCTGATATATAAATAGGAATATTCTATCATCAATAATAATCTCCATCCCTTTATATTTGATTTCGTTTTTATTTTGAGCAGTCAACGGAACGTCTTATCTTTACAAGAGTTGAACGAATATTGCCTTTTTATAATTTTGGCACAAAGCATCTGTCTCTGTTATACTATTGATTACAAACATCATTACACTTTTATTAAATTTTTTCGACGTTTTTTTTCGTAAAGAGGATTGCGATAAAACAAAATGTCCGGGTCCATTGATGTATTACGCGACGCTCCGATGCACGCCAGTATATAAAAACGAAGGTGATTGCTGTGCGATAAGGTACAATTGTGATCATCTAAAGGAAAGATCTGCGAACAAATGTTACATCAACAACAACGAATACGAGATCGGTGAAATTCTTAAAGAGGAAGACATGAATCCTTGTGACACTGCATGTACTTGTATAAAGGGACAGAATGATAATGAAGTGTAAGTATAATTTCAATACGAATAAATTATTTTAGCATAAATTATATATATTAATTTTTGTAAGTAACTACACACACACACACACACACACACACACACACACACACACACACACACACACACACACACACACACACACACACACACACACACACACACACACACACACATATATATCAATATATAAAATTATATCAGTTATTCCTAGTGCGTTTGATTCTAATTATTAATAAAAACAGTTTAAAAAAATAACAACTCGATTGCAAAAGAGAAAAATGAAATCGAAAAAACGAATGAATGAATGAGAAGGGGGGAAGGGGAGATAATTTTACTACACAACATTAATTTCAAGTAATCGTAATGTGAAAATTCGCTACTAATTTTGCTGTTATATGTCAGATATTATCAGGAAGATCTTTCATTTTTCTGCGAATAGCACGGATATCATGAATATTTAATATAATCGTTCAGTATGTGTGTGCGTATGGGCGCATTTTCTTTCGATATTATGAAAGATTCATGTACGGCGTCACATTATTCAAATTACATCACGTTCTCTCGTACGCGTCGACAGTTCGGGATTATTCTGTCATTGTAACATATGTGATAGATATGTGGGATATAATTCACATATTATGAGGTATTTGTTCACATTAGTATGAAATATCTTTAGTGCAATTTATCTTTATTTTTGATATAGAGTTATAACTTATGGATTTCTTATCGGATAAATTCATATTGTTTTTACAGAAATTTACTCTCTAGATTATTTTAATTTTTCACGTCCACGAATAATTGTTTCATAGTGCAAAATTGATAGAAAATACATTTTGATATCAACTATTTAAGATCCAATAAAAATATCTATTCTTGATTATATGATTATAGATAATATGAAAACAAAGTACATATCAGATCTTTTAGATTAAATTTATACAATTTCTTTTTATATAGTGCTGCGTTTGAATGCGGCCCTTATGCCTTATGTAGCTTTTCAATAACAGAACAACCTGGTTGTTATTTAGTACGAAACTGGTCGTTATGTTGTGGATTCGAAGAAATTTGTCGTAAGTACATTCTTAATAAAAAATTATATATTGATAATATTCAACAGTTAATATTATTATGTAGAAATTATTCATATCAAAAGAAATGTACTTTTTTAAAAACATTATAACTCGAAACAGATATATTTTATATTATTAAATTCAGTTTTAATAATTATTCAATAAGTCACACGCGTGCGCATGCAATTTCTTGATGGAAATAAAGTTGTAGCAAGTATATTCTGCAAGTATGTGATGAGCAATGTGAGTACGTGAATAAGAAGTGTTGTTTATATATTTTAGCTGAAAATCCGGAAGACAGAGATAACACTTGTATTGTAAACGGAGAGACATATAAGAATGGTGAGATTTTTATTATAGAAGGCGAACCCAAAATGATCTGTATTTGCCAACCGGGATATCAAGGTAATGATAACGCAATAAATGTACATTATTTCTAATTCATGTAAATTTTCAATATTGAAATATTTATATTGATTACAATGGGAAATTTTCTATTTTTAGGTGAAAATGTTCCGCCCTTCTGTCACTATTCTAAACATGTTTACTGGGATCCTGCATTCGATCATGCGGACAGTATTCGTCAAAATTGTGTTCCAATATTTCTTTCTGATTCTGAAGACTCTATGTCATACAGATGCCGTAAGTTTGCGAAAGGCGGTTTTGAACGCTGTACACATTTCGTCATCGTACTATTTGTCTTATAAAATTGCTATTGAATTTTTTAGAGGACATTAACGACGTTGTCGTTCGCAAGCATAACAATTTAAATGCCAGTGAAAATTTGGATGGTATGTTTCATATTTATTTTTATTTTTATTTTAATAATATCGTATTTATATTTAGTAATATCGTAAGTGTATTTGCGAAGTACTAAGTCGATATGATAAAAAATTATTTATATATTTGTTACGAAATATATAAAATGGTAAAATCATATAATTTGCTATTGCTACATATCGATTTTAGCAACAGTTTTTGTAGAATACGTGCTTTTTCATCATTTATATTGCTTCTAGTAATTATTTATTATAGTTAAAATAGATTTCTAATTCAAGTTAGTAACTTTGGAAATTGGAATATTTCACATTATATTGTATTGTGTAAAAATTAATATTTACAAATTACTGTAACATGGTTAAAAAAATTAATTTCTTGCTTTATTAAAATATCAAATCTTATTCATTTATTTATATTTTGTTTTTACAAATCGTAATAAAAGTTTATTATTCCACAAACAGTACAGTTGATAATTATATAAATATAGCGATATATATAGTGATATATAAAATGATATATAAAAGTGATATATAAAATGAGACATTGAGATGCGTAAAAGGTTCAAGCGATGCTAATTACGGCCGTACTGTGAATCGCGTCAAATAGGAGGTAATTGCAACAAACATATATTGCATATGGATAACGAGCACCGCAAAATCAATTTCTGCAGCATGTTAATATTATGATCCTATAAAATGATAATTAATTATAAAATATAACTCACTTTATATCGCACACCGATTTAATAAACATAGAAAAGTGTATTAGCATAGCTTAATTCGCGTGCCAATATTTATAATATTCGAGATTCGAATAAAATTTTATTTGGTGTTCTTTTCTTTCAGAAGAAAATGTATGCGTATTCGGTAACCTGACGATGCGAATTGGCGACAAGCTGAGTACAGGTACAAATTTGTTCAAATTATGTGTGAAGTGTATTTGCGAAGTGCCACCTCTACTTACTTGTCAACGTGTATCATCATGCTGGAGGATGTTAACAAAAGATTAGTTTATAATTTTAATATAATTCTTAATGTTTATATGTATGTTTATGTGATATTTTCGAGTATTGATCATGATCTTTCGGAAGAGATATTGTTTAGAATCCGACTTATTATTTTCGAGATCAGATCAATTTTGTCCTAATCGATTCATTAAATTTACTGTCAGATAAATCATACACCCAAAGATCACACAAATATTCAATAATAGGCTTGTAATTAGTTGGCTTGTTTAAATACTTGTAAAAATAATTATAATAAAAATTAATTTCTCTAAGAATAAAAATTGATCAATTATTAATATCCCATTACCCGATTAATGTCATGTAGGATAAAATGATTTTTTTTTTGTTAAGATAAATTATACATTTTGAATTATACTGTCTATATCTTTGAACCCTTTGAAGATGTAGCGATAGTAAATAAATCGTTTTAACAATTTAACAAAATGCAGAATATTGTGACAGAAATTTAAGAATTCAAGATAATGATTCAAGGTGAGAGGGGTAATTTGTCTCAACACAAGAATAGTTACGTAATTTGAATGAGCACGCAACGATGACTGATAAAACAAATTATTCTTTCCAGTTCGTATTTCCCCTTCGTTTATCCTCTGATATTCCTGGTATTTCCTTCCTTCTTGTATTACTCATCAGATTTTTTTTTCTCCCTCTTTACGAGGGCTTATAACTCTTTTTCTTTCATATTCATTTTCATTCCTCTCTAGCGTGCACATTCGCCTCTCTTTCACCTACTACTTATTTGCCAACTCTCTCTTTCTCGTGTGCTTCAGTTCACTCTCGCGTACGCGTACTATTTCCCCTGTTCGTACACTGTGTCTCTGCATCTGCGTTGTTCGTACATTCATCGTCTTTCTCCAATCCACTTTCAATCCCTTCCAGACCATAAACTGGCCGCTGCTCCGAGTATAAATGACGCAGCGTCGACGCAACCCGTCCAAGTTTTCACGTTGCTCGATCATGACACGTAGTGGCTCTCTCATTCAGACATGCGGCTATCTGGCGTTTGTCGCTGTCACGGTCGTGATTGCTCAAGGTGAGTTACAAACGACGGAGAACTGACGCTTGCGGGAAACTTGTGATCGGTTATCGGTTACAAAAAAAAAAATTATGCGAATGTTAATTTCACCTGCGTAATTCTACCGTAAATGCGATAATTAAATTGTTTTGTCGATCCGATATTCCGACGTGACCTTGAGATGTAGCGCGAGTTAATAACAATTTATGAATTGACTTCGCAGCAAATTCGCGAAAGGAATATGCAAGTGTCGAAATTGTCGGATGTGACGTTTCAACTCGCTCAAGTTACTGTCTGTGTTGATTCTTATTTATCATCTCTCAAGACACATTTACAGAAAATTTGAAAACAAAATTTGAACACAATATGAACTTTTTAAATGAAAACGTGAATATGTAATTATTTTATTAATTTATTTCTTAATTAAAAATTTCTCTTTATCAATTCTGTAAAATTTAAAAGATATCGCATTTGCAAAATATTTTCTTTTTCGAGGACTTTCTCTTATTGATTCATTAATTATGTAAATTTTGACACTTTAAAAATAACTTGATCTATTTTATATATGTATGTCTTATTTAAAGTTAATTTTCTATTATGTATAAACGACAACGTAATTCAGAACAATTATCGATTTCTATCTGGGCCAAACATTTTCCATGTTAAATTCTTTTGGTTGCTTCTTTCTTTGAAGAATGCGATAAAACTAAATGCCCGGGTCCATTGGCGTATTACAATGCTCTTGGCTGTATTCCGATATATGAAAAAGAAGGTGATTGTTGCGCGACAAAATACAATTGTGATCATCTAAAAGAAAGATCCAAAGATAAATGCTACGTCAATGACGTGGAGTACAATATTGGAGAACATCTCAAAGAAGAGCACGCGAATCCATGTGACAAGGGTTGTTTTTGTGCCAAAACCGATGGAGGGTAAGTAAAGATCTTAACATTAATATTTTTTAATTATTACTCGTTTTAGTTATTAGGTTCCGTGTACTAAAATTACGCAACTTTTTATAGTGCTTCGTTTATTTGCGCAGTAGTTGATTGTTTTCATCCACCGCCGAGACCTGGTTGCTACAGAAAAAATTCCCCATTAAATTGTTGTCCTGGAGAAGAAGTTTGCCGTAAGCATACGTAATCTAATTGAGAGTTATGAAGTTTTTATACGTATTTACGTAAATTGTTAACTCCGATATTTATATGAAACGTATCTAAATGTATGCATCTAAATGTTATATAAAATGTATGCTACTATTAGTTGTTTTTTGATCGAAATAATTACGATTATAAATATTAATATAATTTTAAATAATTTTCAACATTTACGATATACAGTTTTCACCTATAAAAGATATTTCCATCTTGAACTATTTGCTTAATATCTAAGTAAAATTATTTACGTTTCTCAGCTGAAAAGCCCGAAGATAGAGCTATCTGCAATGTAGATGGAAAGGAATATAAAGATGGAGAATATTTCACAGTTGAAAGTGACCCGGATTTAAGCTGTATATGCCAACCGGGTTATGAAGGTAAAGATAGTTTCAAATACTTACATTATTTTGAATTTTTCAATGCTATATATTTTCACACATTATATGTATATCAAAATACGTTTGTAGTAATATAAATAATATAAATATATAACGACACAATGTACTAACAAGTAATCCAATATTATTATCAATATATAATGTTGAGTTTACATTTTTGTATACAATGCATAAAATCTTTATGGTTAATATAAACGAATTGTCAATTTTCAATAAAATAGATATACTATAAAAACTTATATCAACTTATATCAATGTAATGTGCTAATGAATAATTATTTATTTATTTATCAACGAGTAATTAAATAATTCAGCACTTATTGAAACAAAACGTATATATTTGTAACGATAATTAAAATTAAAATTGTATTTATTTATATTTTATTAGTGCGTTTGTGTTTGCAACAACAATTTTATACCATAAATAATTTTTATGATAAGATATAATTTTTAATTTAAATCTGTATAATTTAGGTTTTCTCTGTTTAACTCTTAATAAAAAATTTTACGATTTTAGGACAAAACGTCGAGCCTTTCTGTGCGAAGCCTAAACATTCATATTGCAATCCTTATTTCCGCCATAGAAGCGACGTTGATAATAATTGTGTTCCGGTTTATTATTCCTCTCAATCGCCACAAACTGGTTGCAGCGTATTTTCAAGATGTCGTAAGTTCGCAAATTGCGATTTTGCCTGTGTATACATACATACGCCAGTATTATACGAATAATAATAATTTTATTGAATTGTTTCAGAAAACGACAAGGATACCGTCATTCACAAAGAGGATAATTCTAAATCTGTTAAAGATGGTATTTTATCTATTTTAATATTATAAAAAGAACGACTATTGAACAATACAGAACAGTTAATATTCTTAAGAATTCAATAATTTTATCTTTTATTTTATAATAACTTTATTAATTATCGTTTTTTCAAAAAATATGAAGATCCATATTGCATACAAGTTAATTCGCTTATTGAATTGAAACATAAATGATGCATCGATACGCATTTGAACATTCAAGCGATGCTAATTACGGCTGTGCTTTGAATAGCGTGAAATGAGAGTTAATTGCGAGAAATGTTGCACACGAGAAGCAACGCGCAAATCAATTTCTGTCGCAAATCTATAAAATGATAATTAATTTGGTCATCGTTATGAATTCAGGGTAGAAAATTGTGTTATAGGGGTGTTAGTTAACACGTCGCTAATATTTGTAACGTATTTGACGTTTGTTCGTTAAAAATGATTTCGTTTTGTTTATTTCATTTTCTTTATTTATCTATTTAATGTTTTTATTAAGCGTTTTGTGATTTGGTTTTGTGAATTATCACTGTAACAATAGCCGTAAAATTTCATGGTGATGATAATATCGCTCGAATAATTTAGAATTGATTTCATCGTTTAAAACTGATATGTTATTGAGATTTATTTTTTTCAGATGAGGATGTTTGTCACTTCGGAAACATGGTCATGCACCATGGCGATGAGTTGAATCAAGCTACAGATTATAATTCTGTATGTGTTAAATGCGTTTGCGAGATTCCACCTGTTCCGACTTGCCAGCGTTTACCGGATGAAGAATGCGATGTCACGGATCATCCGGACTTCAGCATTCAATAAACCTTTCGGAATTATCTGTGATAATATCATTATTTTCCGTATTCGATTTAGGATTTTGTAGTAAATTAGTATGTACATATAAGAATTTCTCTATCTTTGTATGTATTTTAATTTTTGCATTTCTTCTAACGATTATAATAAAAGTGTGTTTTTATGTACCACATATTAATAAAATATGAATAAAAAACAATAAAAATATAAATATAAATCTTCTGGTTACTTTATACAAATTATAGATAATATTAAAAAACGGCCATTTAAAATAAAAATTTATGAAACGAGAAAAATCTCAAGAAAGGAAAAAAATTCTATCAAAATAAATGTGTTATTCATTTTACTGATAAATGGTGATTTTAATTATTCAATTTGACTTGATAAACTTGCACGTGTGACAAGTGTTTTGCATATTTATACGAAAAACATGTCTTATCTCCGACCTCCTTTGTATTAATCTTCCAAGGGTTATCTGTCTCGTTACGCAACGTTTATCGACGAAAACATTACTAAATGATTTATTATGAAAGGTTATATATTTCTTATCGTACGTTAGTATTATCTATTTAATTCTATATTTTTTTCAGCAAAGTTTTATAATTATTTTGATGGCTGGACTCTTTTCTGCAAAGATCACTCGTATGAAACGTTAAAAATCTTCTGACAATATGATATTGTGCTATATTTTTTAGTACTAATGCGATATTATATTTGTCAGAATCATTCGCAATCAATTTTTGCGTAATATCGCTGATGTGAATATGAATGATTTTGCTTACACGGTACACACTGACGTTGGAATAATCTACACGCTGGGCAAAATCAATCCGTGTTTTGGACATCCTCTGCTTGGTAACGTGCCTGCGTTAACTAGCAACAGAGTTGTTTACACACTCCACCAAACGTTACCTATTTCTCATTTAAACTCCTAAGTGATTTTACTGTTGACACTTCGCAAATTATTGCCGGCATTACAGGCTTGCTTGCGCGTCTCGCGTTAGCTTGCGATTTATTGCAATTCGCGGACGAGAAGTCCATGCCTCGCAACTTAACGAGTATGAAGGAATAAATTAGGTTTAACGTTCGCTAAAACGAACATGGTCTTTGGCACCCTGCGCGAGTCAAACCGAATGGCGGGCATACACAAATCTTAATTTCTAATTTGACTTGCCAATTTGTAAATTATAAATTGTAATTATATAAAACAAAAGTCAATATCGAGAAGTTGGATAATTAAAGTGACGAGAGTATTTCTATTTAATGAAAATTATGTATCATGTAATTATGGATATAAATCATGTAATTATGGATGTGTGTAGAAAAATTCATCGAGAGTGATTAATAATGATCAATTAACTATAATTTTCCAATATTTTTCAAGGACAGTGAATGAATCATTACCTTGAATTTATGATGGTTATTAAATGGAAGAGCTATTCTGTTTTTCTTAATAGATTCATAATGACTATTGATTTGTGCATTGGAAATATTCTTGTAATTGCATTTCTGTTCCATTTTAATAATTATTACAAGAGAAATTTATTTTATATAACAAGATGTATATTATAGAATAATAATTATCAAAAAATTAAAAACGAAAAAGAATAAATCAATTGTTTCTTCAAAAACAAATTCTTCTTAAGTTTTTATGAAATACTAGAAAATTAATTATTGATTATGTTTTTCAAATAATATATATTTATTATTTTTAGGTATTCATATAACAATGTTTTTCTTGATGTATTAATAATTAATTAATTTAGTAAATAAATATCCTAATGTTATGTTATATCCTATATTTATTATATTCTATATTTATTAACATCTTTTTCATCATCATATAAAACTTTCTCGTTCTCTTTTTTTTCCTTTTTCTTCTATCTTTCATATGTAAAATTATTCCTCTCTAATTTTATTTTTCTCTTTTTATGTTATCTCGGTCAAAGTATATATGATGGTCAACGAGTGCAAAATATTAAAATTTTCCTCTGCGATCATGTCGCATAGTGTTTATTCTCTATTCAGAAATGCATTTGACATTCGTCATCGTAATCGTTTTGGCTGACCATGTTGAATTTTAAAAAGAAGAATTTATTTGCTCTCTAAGAATTATGTAATTGTGCAACTAGACAGTTCAAATGTTTAATTATTAAAATAATTAATTAATTCATTAATTAATAATTAATTAAATTAATTAATTCTAAATATATTTAGATTAAAATAAAACTGTTACAAAACCACTACCGTTAAAAATGCAAGATGTAATAATATATCTTAATAGTTTAATGTGTCATAATAAAATGTGTCATAAAATCTTAAAAAAAAATGAATGTCTATTTTTAAATATCCGCGAATGTTTTATGTGTATTGCGACATGGTTTATGAGTTCGATAAAAATTTAAATGCTCATGTATAAAATATTAGTTAATTGTTACAGTACAGTTATAAATTTACACAATTTATACTGCAAATTCATTTAATCATTTAGCGAAGTAAATAACCGAGATAGTTTTGTATTTTTTTTATATTATCGAACATTTTTTTAATTTTTTATGTAGTTATAATATATTTTCATTTGATCGATTATTTGCTTGTCTTAAATTGTTTCATCTTCTCTTCCAAAAATTCTAAGTTTTAATTTTATTTATTATTTTTATTTATTATTTTTATTTATTAATTTTATTATACTTATTTTTTAAATAATTTCAATTGTGCGGCAGTTGGCTTCTATGGACCTATAAATTTGATTGTTATATGCAACGTTGCATATAACAATCTGAACCATTAGTATGTCGCAAGTAAACGTATACCACTAAATTACTTTTTCCTTATACTCTAGTACTTATTTACTTTTCTAAATTTAAATTAGTACTACACAAAAACGAAACTAAGTAATACTGTCAGAAAGGTTACGTACACGAAAAAAAAAAAAAAAAAAAAAAACAACGAAACTTTTTAAAGTAAATGTCAGAAAACCGGTTTTATCAGTTATAAAACTGTACTGCATTTGTTAGCCGAAAAAGAAGAAGATAGAACAACTTGCTTGATAGACGGGAAAATGTATAAAGATGGCGAACGTTTCAAAGTTGAGTATGACCCAGAACTATTTTTGCCATTCCAGAATACAAGAATACTAAAAATAGTTTTCTAGGATATATTATATATAGTTTTATGTGACACTAAATAATTATTATCTTAAGATCACCGCTATTTCTTATCGAGAGTTTCGCTTTTCTAAGTGAAAACATCACACTTTTTCGTTCGACATCAAATCTTGCATATTGTGATAGCTTCTTTGATAATACACGATGATGTTTAAAATCAATGTGTATCGATTTCATAAGAGCCAGAAGTAAATTAGTTGTAGCTTTCGAATGTCGTAAGTATGACTACTTTGCATGCTATATAAAAAAATTTCCACAATTTTCCTTTTAATTTTTGCATAACAAAGTTTTGCATGCACCTCGTGAAAAATTATATACAGTCCAGAGTTAAATATTAAAACTATCTTGTAGCCTATCCATCAGAAAACGCAGTAGATCTAACGATGTAATATTTATTGGTATGTTTTTAATTCTTTTTTATATATACAGCTCTATATTTTATCTATACATCCGATACATTTCTCATAAATCCACTGGTTTTAATTAAAATAAAAAGTTACACAAATACAATGCGCAGCAACGGAGTTGTAATCACGTTGATCTGTAATATATAAAAGTATCCAAATTATAGCGCTAAACATGTAAACATATATCACTGAACGTTTAATTAAACCCTGAATCGTAACTTAAATAATGACTTAAACACATTTTTGTCCTGCTATTTAACACAGATTTAATTAATCTGAAGAATGATACGCAAATGGTACGCCAAGCACGCACTGCAAACTCGCCATTAACGTTCTTTCGAGATGACAATAAATCGGCTATATTAAGTTTCGCTTAAAGTACGACCTCTATGGTCGATGAAGTTACCGGAAATAGGCGGCGATGGCTTGGAGAGCGCCTATGAAATATGAGAGTACGAAAGAAGCGTCGTTTCCGGAAGTTGTATCATCAGATTGTTTGATAGCGAAAGTCACGGCGACAGACAACTTTGTCGTTGCGAACTTCGACATACTAACTTCGAGCAATTCTGGAACAATTCCGTGAAATAATTAACGAAGAATCTGCAGAACGAACAGTTAGAAGATATAAAATTTAAACTCGGTTAAAAGCTCCCTTGAGAAAAGTAAAATCATGAAACACGAACTTTCCAAACGGCGTAAGTGTCTTATTTATTTTTTAGTTGCAATATTACAGCATTGTTGGATTTGCATTTTAATTTCTTTTTATTATATCGCATATTAATATATATGTTTTTGTTCTTGCTAAATGGTATAGTATAGATGAATTTTTATCAGAAATAATTTAACTAAATTTCGTGCTGCACTTCTTATATCTACGTATAGGAGATAAACTTTTCTTTAAAGAATTGTTATTTTACGAAAGAAAAATTAGATCCATGGCAATCATAGTCAAGTTGTATAAATCCTCGAGAAATATGTACTTCGTCCTATGTATATAAATCTCCATATTTTCGTGACACTTTTCCCGTTATGCAGAGATATGGAGATGTTCCGCTGACTTTTGTGGCACGTCTGCGTAAATTTTAATTCTCGACTTTTAAGGCACAAAAATTATAAATTTTAATAAAATAATTTACTGCATCAAGAAAACAAGCTTAGAAATTAATCTTTGTAAATTCGTCTAATTAATGAAATCAAATTTTTCATCTCTCGCTGGTACATATGCGATCTCTAAAAAGTCGTACGAAAAATATCTATTTTCTATGTAATATAAATTTAATTCTTTCCTAATGAAAATTTAATAGATGTCAATGACAAACTGTTTAAAACCAGTATCGGTATTAATGAAGTCTAGAACTGAATACTGAAGAGAATCAAAATCACTCGAAAAGTATAAATAAATAACAAAACTCGTTAATTAATTCGCAATAAACTTTATCTCGAGAAGAACTTGATTTGAAACTTAATTATGAAAAAATTTTAAATTAATGAAAATCAGAAAAGAGTTCTTTGCGTCGAAATGTTTTACTGCTACAGGAACAATTATTAATTCGTTTATAGGAAATGCAATTTTGTTCTTCTATCGGACTAACCTGATATGTCGCATACTTCGTATTCTTGAAAACAGTTGGCGACAAATCTAA